AGCCTCCAAACACACCCAAGCTATTGGGGTTTCCGAAGCCGTACATGCTAGCTCCACGCAAAGGTATGGGTATGTATCAATAGAATCAACCAAACACAACTGTACTTTACTTGGGCTTCCCTTGACACCATTTTAATCCAGCCGCAAACAGGGTGCCCTCAAAGCACAGACGTGCACACACGCAAAGGTGCGCACACAAACAAACAAGCAGACAGACAGACAGAAAGATGGTGTGCCGTTATGCGTAATTAGCCTTTAGCCGAAGATCATATCTCATTGTTTCACAAACCGCAAAATAGGCGACAGCGCTCCCGGGAGGAAGAGTGACGCATTCCAGGAGGATAACATGACAACGGTATTGAGGCTCGGACCCCAGCGGAATGACGACCCGCGCGGTGGACAAGGCGTGGGAGAAGACATGGATTTGCCTCTAAATGGGGAATCTTTAAAATGAGTTGGCTTCCCTTTCCAACCAACTAAATCGTTTCAAAGGCAGCCGCAAGGGAGTCATCCATCAACGAGGCCCTTTGCTCACAGACGGCTTGCCAGCCGTGCGGGCCGAAGCGCGCGATGGCAGGGGGACCACTTTACGGTCAGCGGGGCCAAGAATTGGATCACCAACTCCCCCATCGCGGATCTTTGCTTGGCCGGGTGCACACTGCGCCGAGAGGAACCACCTTGGCCGTGGGTGGGCACAATTTTACATGAGACTTCTGCCGCTCATCATGTTTCATTTGTCTTTCCCAGTTAGATATTGAAGCCACGCCACGGAGAAACTGATGAAACAACTGCCGTTCACAGGGTAGCCAGGGGGTCCATGAGTGTTTGACCGAGGGAGCGCCGAGTGTCAGCGCTGAGGTGTGGGCAAAGACTGACACGGACGGCAAGGTGGGGCCCGAGACGAGCTGGGGAAAGCAGAAGTCAGGATGTTGATTTGTTTTGACCCCCAAAGCTCGCATGTTTTTCCTTGTTGGCGCGAGCAAACAAACTTTGCTTTCTGCTTTGCGCCTTGGTTAGATGTTCCCGGTGCCGCATGACAGGTTCAGCTTCCCTCACGGTCAAACTGTCAGGGTGAGACCGGACACAAGTGCCAGGTCCGAGGTTTTCTGGTGGAGCGGGGCATGGAGGCCGAGGGGCGGGAGGTTTCTGTAGATTAAGTCTTTTGTGCCAAACCCAGCGCCTGGGGCAAGATTGTGTGCACGTTTTTGGTTTTGTGTTGGTGGTCAGATTTTGGAACACGCTTGTTGGCAGAGGTGGCTTGCGGAGTTGTGGCAAAATTGCATCGGGAGAGGGATTCGACATTTAGGGCTTGAGAGGCCTTAAATAGGGGCCCAGATCCCCATTTTGGCGGTCGTTCTCTTGGCTTTCCCCAGCCTCAAAGCCCCCCATTTGGTCATGGGGGATCCAAGCCCACCATCCACCCGCCAGGGGTGACCATCAACAGCCATGGGCGTTTTGTCTTAAAACGGGGATGTCGGAGCCCAAAACGGGCCCAAAGCGGTTTGGTCTCAGGGCTTGGCCACGCCGAAGATCGAGGGGAAGTTCTCCCTGCGAGCCTCGCCCACAGCTCGGGCCTCAGATTGGGAGCCCTCGCGGAAGGCCACGAATTTCGAAGTGGTTGGACCCTGAAACTTCCCCGAGCTCCTGCACTTTAGATCTGAGTTTGGACCATTTTACCAGCAAGCAGGAAGTTTGGAATTGATTTGGCCCATGGGCACATTCCTTGAAAAGGTTGCTTGCTCTGCATTTCATAGTGTGGCTCATTTCCTTCACGAGTTCTTTTATAGATTTCTGATTAGCTCCACATTTTGCCATTAGTAAGTCAACTCTCAGTGGCATGACCCGGCCCCAGGGGATGATTCAGCTGGATGAAGTCAAGGTGCCAAAGGGCAACGTACTGTGCGGAGCCAAAGTGGCTTGGTGGGAAAGCAAATCAGGGTGGTCTTTTTTGTTTTGTTTTTTCCTTTGTTTGCCTTTTTTTTTAGGCCCCATTTCGGTGACATTTGGTGCTGGCTTTGAATGGGGTCCAAAAAGGGTCAGCATGGTGTGAAGCAACTCTCCTGCTCCACAAACTCGTTGACAACCCCGGCAAATTTTCAGTTTCCGAACGGAGTGTTTGGAGAGAGCTACATTGGGCCGCAGCAAAAATGCCGATCCGTTCCTTGCTGATCATATGGTGCCTACTTTTAAGAAGCTCAAGCTTCAATGGCTTTTGCTGCAACCCGCACAGGACAGTTACCTCTAGTCTATGGTTCATTGGAGGAACACAGGAGGGGACTGGACTACCGTTCTTGATTGAGATTTTGGCTCACATCATGAGCAAACAGTTTGTTCAGGTTCGTTGGGCCTTACCCAAAGCCCTGCAAGAGCGAGGGCATTATAGTACGGCCCAATATTCTATTTGAACAAATAGTGAATGGTGGCAAAGTAGTAAGGATGGTTTTAGGTATTTCAAATCTGCTGGTTCTCCACGCGGGTTTTGGGCCCCACGCAGTCGCGCCTTTCCGACTCGAGGCCTGGAGTGGTGGGCATGCGTGGCCCCTTCGCCTGCCTGAACTCCGCGCGCCTCGGCGTGCGCCCTGGCTGAGGGGCTGAGGGGCCTTGGGGCGACCCCTGCCGGCGGCTCGCCGCCTTCGCGGGGATACCACACGGTGTGCCTTGTTAAAGGCTGATGTAGGGGACCTCTGCAGAAATCAGCTGAGAATGGAACCTGCCCAAACATCCAAGATCATACAGGTGGGCAAATATGCTGAGGAACTCACCGATTCGAGGGTAAAAACGAGCTCGTAAACGCTGCGCGTTGCCCGCCTCGGCCAAGCCGAGCGCGCAGCGTCTGTGGTTCGACTGCAAGCAGCAGAGCTGGTCAGTGGCGATTTAATTGATGTAATGGGCCCGCAGGAATCCGCGAGGCAAGGGCAAGGCGATGCACAGGACAGGGCGAGCTGGGCTGGGCCTTGCTTGGGTTGGTTGGTGGAGGTTGGGCTGGGCCTGAGGCAAGTCTCAGACACTGGGCTGGGCCTGAGGCTGGTCTGAGACATGCGCATGCCAGGTTGAGACAAGACTGTTTGTCTGACGTGTCCCTTGCTTGGGTTGCTGGTTCTCAAATTGGCCAGCCGGGCCGGTTGCTGGTTGGGCTGGGCTGCGAGGCTAGTCCTAAGACAGGCCTGGCCAGCAGGAGGTCATTCTTTTCGGGACCAACATATTATTTCTTTCGGAGTTTTGCTGCCGGTTTGCGGCGACTTAGCCAGCAGCCGCAGAAATTTTGGATGGGGAAGGGGTTAGGGAAGGGGAAACGCCTTGGTCCTCTTGGCTTGGGAAGAGAGGTTGATAAAAGGAACAGCACGGCCGCAAAGGAACCATGACAGCTTTTTTTGGGCGGTGAAGGAGTTGTGCTCAAACTAGTGTTTTCGCCGCGAAGCTTTTTGGTTTTCGTTGTGACTCAGTGGGGCCACGGTCAAGACCCTTTGGCAACCTCCAAATAGGGTGTAGACAGCAAAAGGAAAGGTTCCGATTCAGGGAGTCATGCTTATCAGCGGAGGACAAGCAGAATTCATTTGATCGAGCCCATCCAAGCACAAGGTTCCTATTAAGGGAGCTGCAGGAGTTTTAAGTAAGGTGCACATGAGAGAGACATGGGTTTTTAGGCCATGGTTTCAGACAAGCATCTTTTGTTGAAACGACCACTGGGTGGCGTTTTCATTGAACAACAACAAGCATTGGGTTGGGTGTTTTAGAAGGTACATGGCTACTGTAGGCATTGCCTGGGGCGCCTGGGGCGCGGCGGAGTCTTGCCTGGACACCACCAGGCGGGACATCGCCGTCCTTCCGCCTCGGGGTGGTTCCAAAACTAGGGGATCCGCAAATGGGGGCTGCCATAAATTGGGGGGTCAGGGGATGGTTCCAGTCCTTTTGGACATTCTCTGTTGATGTCCCTTCAAAGTTCAAAGAGCAAAACACCTCTTGAAACCGAGCTCAAGGGATCATTCGGGCTGTGCGCCAAAAGTTCATCCGAGTCAAAACCCATCCCATCCACGTCTCTCATCACATTGGCTCTTATCTCAGCTTTCCGAGTCTCTGAAGACTTCAGCGTAGCCATTGATGCACCGACCCTCCCAGGATTCTTTTCAGCGAAGAATGGGGTTGAAAGGTCGGGTTACGATGTTCTGAAACGGGAGGCTGCCACAAATCAAAGCGCTCCAAACCCTTTTTCCAGTCGCTCTAAAAGCCCTTTATGGTGGCGGAATCAACAAGTCCCAACCTGGCAAAGGTAGCTTGGCAGTTCCTGGACTTTTAGGAGTTTGACATCTCGCTAACAGTGTACCTTTTGGCAAGGCATCAACGAACCACTAAGGATGTTGAATGGTTTAGAACATCATACCATTTGGACAATCGAGTGAAGTCATTTCTCACCAATTCAGGTTCACTGAAATTTGGACCAGAAATCAAACACGTGTTTTTCTCTTTTCGCCGAAAAGGGGGGGAGGAAGCTGAGCAGGCGCTACACCTTGGACCGCCAGCAGTTCGGGCGGCCGCTGGCTGCGAACCAGCTCGCGAGGAGCTTGGTTTGGGGTTTGGGGTTGTCAGGGCTCGCGTTGGCATTTCTTGTTAAAACGAGCACGAAAAGACCAAGAAAAGGCAAAAAAGGGAAGAACTGACGGAATCCACAGAATCGCGGCCACGCCGTTTCCAGAGGTGCTTGCGAGGGCAACGCCTCACCAACCCCAATTTGATATGCGAGGCTAGGAACAGTTGGTGGACAATGGGAATTGCTTTTGGAGAACCAGCAAACAACGGGTGGAGTCGAAGGGAGGTGCACACATTTTGCGCCCAGGTTCAGCAGAAGATGGCCAACGCCCTGACCGCACCTGGACGACATGTGAGCTTTTGCACTGGTTTCCTCAAGAATGGTTGGGAAGCTATGGGGTCTCTGCCCAGCCGAGAGGTCTGGAGTGGCTCCGGGCCAGGTTGCAGAAGGGTGCCCATGCTGAATTTTGGTTCTCACTTTGAGCCTTGTTTCGGGGATACAACCTCCTTTGCGACCCTCACCTCTCGAGGGGATGTGGCTTTAAGCGCTTGTTGCCAGCTGCCCTTACGAAAGGAAGCCCAACAGAAGCCCTCGCATTTGGTGTTGCGGACCGAAGCATAGAACGTAGCGGTTTGTGTGGTTCCAAGTTGGTCTGGTCCTACCAGACCCAGTAGTTGGGGAGGTCTTGGCGTAGAAGGGGCAGGATGTTTTGCAAATGTCCTGCAGCGCAGTCAGTGCGATCCAGTGTTGAGCTCGCTAAGGAGATCACGATTGGGCTGAACTCAGTCCTTCAAGCCACGCGGATGAAGGAGGCGCTTGCAATCCTGTAGCAGTGTATACATGTCGTGCAGAGTTCAGCAGCATTTCGAGATCCGTTTTCTTTGCCCTTGAGAAGTGGGGTCCCCCCATTTTGACACATACCCATGTGGCTGGTGGTGCACAGTTTCCATAGCTTTGTGCTAGGCCGGGGAGTTGCACTCGAACGTCATCTCCATGATGAAGCGTAACTCCTGCAGCAAGGCTCCCCTTCCCGAATCCTGGGGGCCACTTAAAGGAGTTAAGACAACAATCGAACACCTTTCTGGGGTGGAGTCCCCAATTTTGGAAAACACCCTTTTCCCAGTTGTTCAGTGGCGCCCGGTTTTGCCATTTGGTTTGACGGCTGGTCAACCTCAGAAAAGGGATCCTGGAGTTGGACAGGCTTGGGGATTTCTCGGACATGGCGGTCGATCTCCTTGTCCTATTGGCTTGTTGGTGGGTTTCTTAAGAGAATGCAGGCGCCTTGACTGTTGGCTGGGGAATATAGCCGTTTGCTTGCGTGCCAAGTGCAAGTTTTTTTTGGGAAGGCAACAACGAGACCCACGAATACCATCCTTATTAATAGATTGATCCGGTGAGCTTGCAGACTTTTTTTCTTCCTGCGGTTTGGTATCTCAAGGCTTGCCCAAGCGAAGTGACAAGCTATCCCTTATGGCACGGATGGGCTGCAGCTGCTGAGAGATCTGCGCCCCAATGCCTAGGCCGATTGGAATCCTTTGGAGAGTTCTCAGGATCAATGGGCACTCCCAACTTCTCTTTGCTTGCCCTGCCGGGACGCGCAAAGTCATGGGCCTTACTGCTGCCAAGAGCGGCGGCTTACACGCTGTGCAGTCAGGGACTACGAGATGAACCAGTGCTGCGGGTGTGCAACATTCTGCAACAAAAGAGCCGGGCACGGACCTGTTGTGCACAAGAGTGGGCCGGAGACAGTCAAGGTTGGTTCTGCGATTGTGGAAGCAGTAAACCTCTGGGACTTGCTAAAAACACAGTTTTGAAATCCACGAAGTAAGGAAGCTTTGCTGGCATCGCCTTCTAAGGTCTCGGAAAGCCCAGACCTCGCGCCAAAACTAAAACCAACCACTTTTAGCTAGACCTTTACAAGTAAAAGCCTACCAGCCCATACCTGGAAACAAAAGGTTCAATTCAATCGCTTTACAAATATAGAGTTGTAAAAGGAAACGTCTGCCAGCTTCCACTTTTTAATTGAGTTCTGTCTAGAAAGCAAGCGATCGATTTGCAATCTTCTGCTTCCAGGATGGGGCTGCTGGCGCAACCCCACTGTCACCACCTTTTGGAATTGGCAGTGGATCGCCCAGTGGACAACTCACACAATGCAGCAGCGCTTGCGCGGCCAAGCGACATGGCAGTGGCCCAGATGGCAGCGGCTCGGTTTTTCAGTGGCTGATGGGCAAGAAGGTCAAGGGTAGGCCAAAGCAGCAGGAGAGCCCCTCACGGCCAGACTTCTTCAGCGCACAAAGCGAAAGCGACTTGGCACCAGCAGACGTTCAGCACGCGGCAAAAGAGCCCAGACATTTTTCTGGCCACAGACAGGCAGGCGAGCGGGAATGGGTGTGGCTGCTAAGAGCAAGACCCTCCCAAGGAGCGAGGCACATCATGCGCCAGACACGCCCCTAGAACTTCCGTCATGCTTCGTGGCAGCGCTTATTGAAGCGGAACAGGGGAGAGAGTTGAGAGGTGAGAAAGGGAGGGGCAAGACCGTGGCAAGACTTGGTCAGACCAAACAGGTTGCTCTCGAGAGGCTTGACACAAAGACAGCTCTCAAGCTGGAGGTTCCAGCTCGCGAAGTTTCCGTGTCAAGCGCTGGGGGGAAGCTGCGGTTTAGCTTCTTCGCGCCAGCCTACCTCAATGACTTCCTGAAGCGTATGCATAGGATGCATCCCCGCGTGATATGTCTAGTTCAAGCTGCGAAGAGAACGATTTCGCGAACAGCTGGCTCAGAAATAGCAAGCCAAGAGCGCATCCTGCCCGAACTAGCTGATAGTTTTCCGCCGTTCGGGTGTGGAGGCGGATTTGTATCTGCACGGTTGCATCCTGGCCAACATGTGCGGCGGTGAAATTCGAGTGCGTCGTGCATTGTCAGTGAGAGTCAGAGGGCGCGAGTCAATTCTTTTTTGCTTGGGGTGGCAGCAAAGCCTGTGCGTTCTCAACTCTTGAACGCTCGATTACCTGATCGTTTCACTCCTGGACCTGCTTGGACCGAGAATTTCAGAGTCACCTGGTACTTCTTGACTAGCACTATACTTTTCGAGCGGATGGCTGCAGGGAAGAGTTATATTGTGCCAATGGGGTAATATTATCAGGCCGGTCTGACACTTAGGGTCCAAGTGTGGCCAATTTGATTTACGTTTGCAAGGAACTAGATTGAGATTGCTATGTTCCTGAGCCGGCAAAGGCTTGCACTTTTCCCCATCAGGCCAACGGCTTGCGCTTTTCCTCTGGCGGATGCAGTATCTGACCTATGCACATGGAATCTGAGTGAGGGTCAGAGCGGAGAATCCGGGTTCTAGTTCCTGGATAAAGTGAGCCATGCGCCAGATATATCCGCGATCCAGTGTTTGCGAAATGCGATAGATAGCTTTTGAAATGAAGAGGTTTAACTCACCACTGTTTCTTGGCGAAGAAAGGACACCCGAGTCGAATTCCCAACGGGAGTGTCCAAAACACAGCGCCCCTTCCTCGGATGCTACGCTGGGCTCACCCTAGGGGTGCCAGGGAACACCCAAATGATCAACTGATAAAGAACTGTTGGTGGACTTTTTTTCTAGTTTGGGGAGATGTTGCCATGCTTGGGGAGACCTTCGCCATTTTGTTTGGGGCTCATACGATGGGCTGGCCAATTGGTTAACCCGCCAGACTGTTTAAGCAGCCTCCTCTTGGTTTTCTCTAAAAAGGGGGCCAGTGTCTTGTTAACTGCTTTGGGTATGCGTCAAGCTGAGAACTCCCCCAACATGGTGGCTTTCCCTTTGGTTTCCCTGTAAACCCCAAAACGGGGCCACACAAAAACCCATGTGGTAAAGCACGAGAGGGCACAATGGGTCATTTAAGCACCCGGCACTTTGGCGGAACCCTTCCTATGTACATCTCCAGGTGAGTCCTCTCTGTCAGGCACTGGACATCGCCCGGATCTGCCGAGACATGCTGGGAGGCGGGAACGCGGCTATGGGCAAGTCGGCGGTTGGCCTGCGGGTTTCCTAAGACATCGCGCCAGGGGTCCCGATATTTCTCTTGAAGGTTTCAATCGGGGACTGTGCATTTGTAGGGGGAAGGATGTAAGGGAAAATGTGGGGAATCCTTGTTGGTGCCAAAAGGGCCTAGTTTTGAGACCCGATGGTCAGACACTCAGCGGCTTTACGGCCGAGGCAATGGGATCGTCGACGAGTACCACGTCATTCGACATGTGTGCAACCTTGAGGCGAGTGGAGTGCAGCGCAGTGAAGTGAAGGGCTTGGAATCCATTCGCAACGTTGGGAAGCGTGATGGGTGGGACTGTGACGAAATCTTGGGCCACAAATGGCCAAGCAACATGGGAGTTCCCAGCCAGAAGAGGCCACCACAGCCCCTCCAGCCGGGATATGGGAAGCTGGTGGGATATTTCAAATCATTGGAGGTGTCAGCTCTTGTGTTTTTACGCGCGTTTTGTTCGGAACATTTCTTTCACACCCGGACCTCGAATCGGATTTTGGTAAGGACTACTCTGGCCAGGCTGTGAACACCTACGAAGGCACCGCCGACATCCACTCTTTGGTGCTAGGACGGGGTCGTCGACCGAACGAATTTCTTGGACCCAACCGCACGCCTTTTCCCGCGCCTTCGGTTCGGTGCATCGAATTGCCTTTTTCTCCAGTCGGGCGGTTGGCCAGGCCGCGCTCTGACGGGCATTCCGGCGTTCAAATGAATGCCTCGATTAGAAGCGACAGCGGAGTCCGGGTGCTTGATTCGGATTTTGAGAGGTTGCTGGTTTCCTTCTTGACCTTCGCCCGGCGTGACCCGGGAGGTTTCGCACCTCAGTTGAGATATCACAAGGTGCACGAGAGCATCACCGCGCCCACGGATTCGCCTTGGCTGAGTCTCTCTGGGCGCATCAGAAAACATGCGACGGGGAAGTCGGAACCTGTCAACAACATCTACCAATCACAGCCCGCGGTCAGGGGTCAGGCGGTTAGGGCTCAGCGATGGCCACAGCGGGCTTCGTCGTCCAGCGGGCCTCCCAGGGGGCCACCCAGGGGACGCGGCCTCTCCCAGGTCGCCTTGGAAGTCTTTACTTGGCTTTTCTAAACACTTCTTTTCTGAGAGTTCAATCAAACCATGCGACTTTTAGACCTTTCGAGTTTAATGAGTGTTGGATTTGTGGCAAATACCCCACGATCAGGTCAAGCGCCCGTCCCGTTTTCGGCTCGGAGCCGAAGCCCAGGTGCTCGGGGGGCTCCCTGCTGCGGACCCCTGGCCGGAGCTCCTTCCGCCCAGAGGAGGCCTTTGCAGCCAGGTACCTGTTGCAGCTTGGGTTTTCAAGGCGAAAATTGGATTACCCTCCCACCAATTCACATAGAACCTGACAGGAGGGGCCTGGTTTGGACCATTTTCCTTTTAAAGGCACCAGGTCCCTGTCAGGTTCCATGTTAACCGGTGGGAGGGTAAATCCATGTTGGGGGTCCCAACACACCCCACGTGGCCAGTGAAGGCAAATGGAAAAGGGCGGGGCTTCACTGCACATGGGGAATTGCTGCAGGTGTCCAGCACCCACTAGCCCCCTAGTGGCGCTCTAGCCACCCGCTAACCACCCGCCAACCGCCTACTTTTTGACGTGTTGCGACTCCTTGAAAGGCGCCGTACACAATGCGGCGGTTTACCAGGCGTCCAGCTCCAGCTGCGGCGTGGTTTTGCAGACCGAGCCGGGGGCCTTGGTGCTCGGACGATTCCATGGATTCGAGGGGGTAAATCAGGTGCGAAGCCATGAAGATTTGAACACTTGGGGATCCGATTCTGATTTCAGGTTTTGGAGTTTTGGAAGAAGTGCAGATAGACGGTCTGATGCAAACCCCGAGCTGACTGTCAAAGGAGCCAGATGGGACAATTGTGTAGGAAATTGGGTATTTGGAGAATTCTCAGCATAATTATATTTTGCTGGCCTCTATCATAGTGGGGATGGAGCCCAAAATGCCATTGCATTTGGCGCCTACCTTCCACGAACAGACAGCATGAGCTGAAGTTGAGAAGGTCCGAGGAACTCCATGAAAGGAAGTGGCATGCCGGCATGTTCTCTCCTGATGTGCTTTGAGCATTTGTTTCTCGAAAGTTGAGATGAATACCCCTCCCTCCTGCCAGGTCAACCAGGTCAACAAGGTCCAATAAACATTTTCAAGAGGATCATCGCCTTCCAATGTTTGTGGGAGGGTCGTGGATTCAGAAGCCCTTTATCTGCGGGGTCCAACCCTCTAAAGGGTGCCCAAATAAACAACACACAGAAAATAGGAGGTCCCCCCAAACCCCCCAAAATGGAGTGGGTTCCTTTTGGCTTCCCTTGAAGCCGACCGAAACAAACTAAGCCACCGGCCCGTTGGCCTCGCGCGCGAGGCCAACGGCAGCGGGTGCCGTGGCGTTGCTGCCGCAGCTGGAGGACGTGGGTCCCTCCATAGCTGACACGAGGGTGTTGGAAGGGGATCTTCCTGTTCAGAAACCCAGGTACCAACTCAAACAGCTCTGTCGATTTGCGGTAAATCAAAGATGTTTCCAACTTGTTCCCCAGTTGCAACATTTAAGACCTCCACCATTCCCTCGTGTCCAACCGTGGAACCCACCATTCTGACATTTAAAACACATTTCCAAGCCAGTGACTCCAGTCAAGCTTCTTGAATGAATGGGCGGGGAGGGTGAACAGAAACCTTTTTTCGTTCATTTTGGGGTTTGTCGGGAATCCCATGCCTGTGGCATGAGGCTTCAGTGTCATGGTGAAAGTACCTGGAGCGAGACAGGAGCTCACGACATGTTGTTCTATTGTTGGTTTGGGGAGGAAACCAAGGCTCCGCTCGCCCCAATTTGTCCCATTCAACTGTTGTTTGCTAATTTCTTCGATCAGCTTGTACTATGGGACAGCCAGATTCTTGGGCATATCAGCGATGTCTTTCCTCGAAAGACCACAAAGGGGAGGAGATATCGCTCATATTGCGTGTAGATATTGCACACAATTTTTGAGCCGGATCTGCCAAAGCTGATAAGAGGAGCAGACGCTGATAACAATGTGCAGGACTTTGCACACATTTTGCCAAATGTAACCGCAGGTGTTCGTTTTGGACAGTTTCCGCCGCCTTTCGTTCTTATCCAGCGTGGTGCAAAGAGTCCCAGAGAGCACTCGACCCACCGCGCTGGACTCAGTCAGAGGACTGTAAATGAGTGACTGCCCTCCTACAAAATACCACAGAGGCCATAAGCACCTGTGCTTATGGAGGAGCCTCGTTTTGGGGGACCTGACCATTCCTGGGGCGCATTTCAATATGTTTTGTCGACCCCCCGAAACGGGCGGTTTCCCTTCGGACGTTTTCCCTTCGGACGTTTTCCAAAACCCGACCTTCCCAAGTGGAGCTCAGGCTTGGAGCTGGGGGATTGGCCGCGCGAACGATGCCTCACAGGCCGGCGTGACTCGACGGGTTTTCAGTCGTTTCGTTCTTTGCGAGGCGGTTTCCTCTGGGCCTTGGCGGTTTTCCGGAAATCCTTCATGGGGAAGTTCGTTCGCCCAGAGAATGCGGAAGTGTTTGCTTCCAAGCAGTCGGCCATGTGCAGCTTCATCTTTGTTCGCGGACTTAGCATTGCTCGCAGGCAAAGACGCAACTGCCACTTGCCATTTCTAGTTTTGGCGGCTCTGTGCCTGCCCGCCGTAGCCCAAGAGTCTGAGGCCTGGATTGGGATGTTGGGATTGAGGTTCAGCATGTGCATTCTCATTGTGCCCTGCAGCCCTGCACGCAGATATTATTTTGTTTCTGCGCGCCGTGCACGCATTGACTCTCGAGACCAGTTTGCATGGTGCCTAAGTGTGCAGGGAGCGCAGCAAGCAATAAGAGTCACAGTGCAAGAGTGAGATTGCAGCTGCTTTCGAGACAGACTACGAGAGGTTCGGTCAACATATTCAGTTGTCTATTATCAATTTGGAAAGGACAGCTCGGCCTCATCAAATCCTCAGCAAGCTTGTCACACCTCACGAGTTTTTCCACGTCACCTAGGGTAAGCCAATTTTAGCTTCAAGCGCAGCGATGAGCAACTGGCACACAGAAAAGACCTTTGCTTTCACCAGCAACCTCTGTCTTTTGATATCCCTGGCTCACATGTGTTAAAATAGGGCAACCCCGAACAGCTGGATTGCGGTTTTCCCGTTTGCTGTTAAACTTCAAGCCCCAAAAAGGGCCTTGCGAAAAAAGCAGGTGACACTATGGTCAGAAGGCGCACGGCTTTTTGCGTGCCTTTGGTTGCCATGGCCAAGATGAGTTGGGACTCCGTGGGCCTGGCCACCGTGGGCTTCCTCGGGGTGCTGGGGGTGCGGCGGCGCCTCGAGGCACCGAAGCCGGCGGAGAAGGCGGCGACGCCGCTGCGGCTCCCAGGCGAGTTGAATCACCGGGTCAGGTCGCATCCGCTTTAGGGTGCTACTGAGGGGTACGATGGTACAGTGTATAGGGTACGACTGGTAGGGCGCAACGATACGATTGGTGCAATGCACGGTCAAGCTGCGGGTTTGCCGAAATTAGCGGTTGTGTTTGCTGCGTTGTGCGACGTGTTTTTTGTTTGTTTGTTTGTTTGTTTGTTTGTCTGTCTGTTTGTTTGTTTGTTTGTCTGTTTGTGCGCGTTTAAGCCGCGGTTCTGATATAGTTTGTCCGGTACGACGCGCGTGCGCCGTAGCAAGCGCGCCTTCTTCGCTGCCAGTCGGATTCGTGGGCTGCTACCGATCGCAAGTGCTTAAACAGTTTTGGGAAGCATCGTGGCCTGTGAATGCAGAGGTAGGTGACCGCTTTGACGATGTTGATGTTTGCAAGGTCAAGGCTGGTGAAGACTTGGCAAGGCTGAATGCCAAAGCAGATGCGCCGCAAAGGCAGCAGTCAGAGTGAAGCAGCAGTTACTGCAGCAAGCGTACTTGAGGGCCAAGGGCCAGCTTTGATGATGCATTCTTGCAGCGGCTTGCAGCGGGGGAGGGGGGGGGCTTTGCAGGCTGCAGAGTGATGTCTCCTGGCTTGAGATTAATGTCGATTGGATTGTGTACGCGCAGCTTGTCTGCCCCATCCGGCTAGTTAGAGACGGTCGCGTGGATCTATCGGCGTCGGCGTGAAGACTTACAGGTGCAAGTTGTAGACTTCTTGTCTACTTACGCTCGTACTTTCTGTCACGCCTTGAAGCATCGTTTCAAGCGTGGAGCCAGGACACCTCCTGGTGATACAGGCAATTGCGTTGCCAGTGTGAAATTAATTGGCTGCCCCCGACCACATGGTGGGATTGCTGGTCGCCCTAGTGTTTGCTTCTGCAGAAATCCCTTGTGGTGCGCGTTGTTCAGTGCCGGACTTTCACTTTAAGTGTTTGTCTCCCCCAGGGCGGCGCTGATAGCCTTCGGGCTTGTCACGTCATGTGCTTATTTGCCGGTGTCACGCACTTCTGCCAGGCACCGTGCAGCACAGTCGTACCACCGTTGATTTGGGGAGCACATGCGCCCGCCCAAACGTCCCTCAAACCCAAATTTCTCTATGATCTCGCGAAACCTTTGTATTTTTACCCACGGATAAATATATATAGATAGAATATGTATATATATATATATACATATACATGTTTATGTAACATTGCAAGGAATGGTTTCCCGTTTGTTTGCCTCAGTGGACCCAAAAAAGGGGCACCCTCGAAAAAAAGATACACGCCCACAGAATCACTCACGCACAAAAGCGCGCACCCATATACAGATATACATATATATGTATATACATATTCATATAAATATACAGGCTGTTTTAGGTGGTTCCTGTACCCCACTCGTCACCGCAGGTGCCCAGTGCATCGTCACCGGCGCCTCGGGCGGCCTAGGCGCGGAGCTGGCGCTGGCGCTGGCTGAGGCGGGGGCCGAGGTGACGCTGGGCTGCCGGAGCTTGGAGCGCTGCGAGCGGCAAAAGCGGCAGCTCTTCGCCCGGTGCAACGAGGCGGGAGGGAGGTTGGGCTAAGTTCCTGGAGCCGGACGGACGGGATGGACGGACGGACAAGCCTGTTTTGAGGCTATATCCGTTTTGGGTTTGGGTGAAAGGCAAACCAAAGGCAACTTGCTCAAAACCGATTTGGTTGCGGCCTTTGGGTCGACCATTTTAATACCAGGTTTTGATTTGACGCAACATATGTCTCTTCTTTCGTGTCCGCCAAAATCAGGGTCACATAATGTTGTATGTTCTTTTGGCGAAACAAATGATTGCGCCCGTATTTCAATGAAATGACATGTAGTGACCCACGTTGAGGCCTCCAGGGGTGTTTGGCCTGTGAACAATCCCTTCTGAAGCCTTTTCAACATCAATCCTTGATCCCCATGCCATATGGCGGTGATTTCACCCGTTGCGGTGGTGTGCCACTACACGCTACAAACGAGGAGTTGGCGGGATGCCCGCCTTACTAAGAGGTCCGTTTCCCACAACCGTCAACACCTGCGGAGGCGGCAGAGAAGGAGCGGAAGGAGGTCCTTCCGTCCGCGACTTCCGCTGGCGCTCGAAGCGAGCGCCGGCGCCACTGTTTGGACCTGCGGCGCCGGATGGTGTGCAAGGAGCTGGATCTGAACAGCGCCAGGCCGCTTTTCCCTCCAAAAATCAGACCCCCCAAGCTTCCAAGGGGAATCACCTTTCGGATGGAGTTTAAAGGGACGTCTTTGCGGTACTTGTGGATTTGGTGTTCCGTTCGCCATTTTTGCACGTTACAGGTCGATCCGAGCCTTTGCGAAGGAGATGGCTGGCAGCGGATCGCGACAGATTATCCTGGTGAACAATGCAGGTCCAGTGGGAAATGGTCTAGTCTAAGATTCAGAAGGGGGTCGCAATGAGGCCCGAGCCTTGGGTTCCTCTTAAAATTCTGCTGGTTTCAAGTTGGGGGTTTCCTTTGAAGCCTCATGTGGGTGTTTCTTTTAGGGGACCCCTAGGATTGGTTTCCTTTGGCTACCTGGCACCGACCAAATGCTTTGATTTTCAATCTGCCAGGTGTGATGGGAGAGAGCACCGAGGACACGGACGACGTGCAGTTGCGCACGAACCATTACGGGCATTTCATGCTGACCCAGCTGCTGCTTCCCAAGATGGACCCGAGCTCCATCATCGCGGTTTGGCTTTTCATGCTTTTCATCCCTTCCTGAGCTTGGCCATTTAACTGTACCACACGGAACCCGCCAACTGCCAAATGGAAGAATACCTGCTTGGCTGCAGGGCTCGGTTTTCTCGGACTTGGTTTCTCGATGGGGGATGCAGGCAGATCGGATTGCCAGTCTGAACAGCTTAGTGGATTCTTGAAATGATCTGAGCGAGGCCCTACTCCCGTGTGGTTCCCAAAAGGGGTTTCATCTACACGATCGCAGTTTTTGGGGGTCCACTTCAATCTGGAATGAGCGGAGCCCAGGTGGTGATGACAAGCCGGGCACATCGGCAAGGATCCCTGACTGTGGGCAACGAAGGGGAGACTCTGAACAGCGAGGAGATCGAAGGAAGGGTTGGGCGCAGTTTGTTTTTTTGGTGACTCTCCAAAAGGACTTAATCCTGGGTGGTCCTTGTGCAAAGAACCCTTGTGTTTCTTCGTTCGTTGGCATCCCTTCGTTTGTTTGTTTTCGAGCAGTTGTCAAAATCACGGTTGATATTTATTGTTAGCTTGGGAGGGACATGGGGGGGCTGACCAAACAAATTCCTTGCAAACACTGGAGGCGCACCCAACTTTTCCTTTGGGGAAACAAGTTATTTAGCCCAGGGCTCAGAATATAAAGGGCCAAGCATTTGACTAAATCTCCAAACTGTTTTGCCTTGTTCTAGCACACTTCGCAACCAACCCGGGAAGGCTCCCCTCCGGTGGCGAAGCTCTTGCACTCTCTGGGGCTGGGCTGGTATGCGCGCTACGCCCGCTTCTCGCATGAATCTTCAAAGCGGTTTGTTTCCGCTTTCCGAGACGGGTCTGTCGGATATTCAAGGAGTAGTAAACGAGCACTAAAAAGGAGCCTACAGGGGGAAGAGCACGTAACATCCGCAAAAAGCCGCAGCGTTTTCCAACTGCATCCACCGGTTTTCCAACCAAACGGGTCTCGTACCGAAAGGCGTCCCTCGCATCCGAGGCTCGAAGCTCTGCAACGTGCTGTTTGCCGCGGAGCAGCGGCGCAGGCTGCCGGAGGGGCCCGCCGTGGTGGCGGTGTCCCCGGGCTTGGTGAACACCGACATCTTCCGGTCCGTGTCGCCGGAGGCCTGGGACATGGGGTCTTTCAATGGGGTCTTTCTATGGGGTCTTTGGGATCAGTGGTCAAGTAAAGATATTCATGGGATCTCATGGTGTGAATGAAGCATGCCGGGAGGCTTTGGGGCGCCTGGTGCGGTGGCTGGCGGACAAATTCTTCCAGACGCCCTCTGAGGGCGCCCAAAACGTGCTGGCCGCCTTGCAGGCGGCGCACGAGGCGCAAGCGAAGGGAGAGAGCGAAGAGGTGGCCTTGTACTGGCACTGCGGCCAGCCGCAGAGGCCCTCAGAGGCCTCTCTGCACCCTGGGCTGGGGGCTGCTTTGTGGCGTGCCAGTGAGGCGGCGGTCAAGGAGTTTTGAAGCTCCGGTTTCCTTGTGTTCGGACGACGGGTTTCACGCCGCCCCATCGAGCAGAGGATGGCGACAGGGAGGAGGGTAGCTGATCGAGAGGTCGCAGTGGCTCGGAGGTGAAGAGCAGCTTGAAAGATCTGCGGATCTGCAGATCTGCAGATCAGAAGGGCCTACAGCAGCCAGCAATAGAGGACCCTTAAGGTGGATTCTGCATTTCTTCCGAGTCGGAAAAAGAGCATCTTGCATCGCGATCTTGGGCAGATTCCCAGAATCTTGGCAGGAGGGAGCAGGAAGCCCTTCGCCTTTTCCACCATCTTTCCCTTGCTTTCTGCGAAGAATCCACAGCTCCTTGCGTCTGTATTGCTTGTTCTAGCTTGAGGGGTCCAAGCTTGCCTCCGCTTTGCGCAGGCGACCGCCGCGACAGTAGTGACGCTTGCAGCTGGCTGAGAGGTCACGTGCTCCACGATCAGATGAGAACAGGAAGTTTGGTGAAGATGGCAATCAACCCAGTCATTGAGCAAAGCAAAGCCAGATTGGTTCGGTCCCGAACTGACTTAGCATTCCTGGCCACTGGGCAGGGTTTTGATCATGGCACCGGCAATGTTTCATGTGGCACCCATACTATGCCGCAGTGTCGAAATCTGAACGACATCCCCTCCCACTCACTATCATTGGAACCCACTTTAAGATCGCAATTAGCTTGTCCTCGCTGAGCATGGATTGTGCGTGGTCGCGCAAGGCTTCAGAGCCTGACAAGCCCGACGAGCCTGACAAGGTGCGTCCAACATCACACCACCAGAAATAGCTGCCTGGCTTTGCTTTGAAGCCTTCAAAGGGCCTAATTTTTGTAAACATCCTACGGAATATTTCGCGAATTTTGAGACACATCAACGCGCAGGGGCCTCGTTTAGACCCATGTTTCGCCCCATCTTCTTCCATACGGTCTTTGAGGTTTGAAATTTACCAGTTTACACTCTCCAAGATTTCACCAGCCTGTGTGGTTGCTTTCAAAGCGATGAGTGTTCAAGGGGTTCCCTTTCTCTTGAGCCACAACGGGCCAGAGATTGAAAATGCCCCTTTTGGGCGTGGGCCGAAGGCTACAACCATAGATCCGGAGTCCACGCCTGCGATCTTGGAGAGTATCCGCAAGGCAGCGGGTGCCAGGAGATTCGTCAAATCGAGCGCCCAAGATACCGAAACCGATCAAAGCTGGGGCTATTTTAGGTTCGGTTCCTATGTTTGATGGGAGTAAGGCCTGTGTAAGCCTTGGCAGCCGTCCTAGTAGAACCAAAAGTCAATGGGTGAAATGGGTGCTGCTTACAGGAGGTGGTCAGAACCCAAACGTTGAGCGGGGATGTGTTCAAGCGATTTGGGCCCTTTTTGAGCGCTTCACAAGGAAACCAGGATGTGGACACTCTCGAGGTCTCCAACCGGGGATGTGCGCAAGGATATTTTTGGTGTTTCACATCGTTCCCTTTAAACCCATCCCAAAATGGAGAGGCGCCAGGGTGAGTTGTCTCTGAAGGAGACTCTTACAGGGTTGTGCCAGCACCCCGGTCTCACGGGAGGCCATTCACGATGAGCTGGAGAATACCCCGTGAGCCCGGGTTTCTGTCGGGAGCCAGTGATCCACATTGATTCAGAGCCAAGGGGAGCCCCAAGTTTATGGCCCTGCCTGGACCTTGGCCCCGAAAAACGTCACGAGGTTGCAATGGCTGGCTCTCCTTTTGCGCGCCGCCTGTGACGGCCACCGCATTTTGCCGTAGCCGCAGGGTTTTGCCCAAAGAACCTCCTGAGGACAACCGGCCGAGGGATCCGGCGGAAGGACCGCAATTGGCAAGGTCCCTCAGCCCCGAACGGACACAACATGTGCATTTCCTGCCCAGCTCCCCACTCCAGTCTGGCACTGTCCGGGCAATTTCCACTGCAGTTCCGGCTGCGGCACCACTGCGCAAATTCTATTCTCGACCTGGGCGCTGTGTGGCTTGCGCAACTCGTTCAGATCACTCCTGGTGGCGGAGTGCAGACATCTGTCAGCCACCCACGCAGGCCGAGGTGGTATTGGCACGGATGATCTCTGCAAACATCAGCTGCCAACCGTAGTAGTAGGTTGGGTGACAGACCCCAAGGTGACTCAAGAGACACGCCGCTCCTGGTAGGTGGTCTACCTCGCACAGTGTCAACTGCCGGTTCTGGAGTGCGTGCGCAAGAGCAACTGCAAACTTTCGTTCAGGCGGCAGGATTCAGAATGGTGCAAGGCATCCTGAAGCGGAGTGTCTCCGGGCAGCATGCGAGATTGATGAAGGTGTGTGCTTGCACCCAAATTGTTGAGCCCGCGGAGTATCACGCAAATGGTGGCCACCACCTACGCCTCGCCCCGAGAGAGGTCCTCCATGGCACGCCGGACCCTCAAGTCTTGGCTCGCGCTGGCCCACCTCTGGCAGGCGCTTGAGGCGAGCCTGGTCAAGTCATGCTCATAGTTCCCTTAATAGTTATCCTTAGCCATGCTGAATGCTTGTGAAGAGACGTCCATGACCATTCCCGTCTTGTTTGTGCAGCACGGTCTTGAAAACGAGGCGTGAGCAATCTGGAATCCTTACTTGATGATCAGGAACAGCAGTCCGAGAAGCGTGCCCTCCCTACCAATCCTATGTGGATATGCGTCAAAATAGGGGACCCCAAGAAAATGGAGGTTTCCTTTTGATTTCCCTTGAAAGGTGAAAAAGGGCCATGTCACCTGATTCGTCAGATTTGCCACCATTTGCCATGCCTCACTTCCCACCCATTTCCTTATTTACCCTCAAATTTTGAGAGGAAAGGGTCCGTCAGGGCACCCCTACCAGGTTCCATGAGGTTGGGCGGTAAGCGCTGAAGGAAAAGTTAAGACCTTTTTGGCACAACCTGAAGTCAGCATGCAATTCGGTCGCCCATGGCCCGCGCTGCGCCGCACGTTCCAATTCTAGGTACCAGGGACTCTTGGCACTTGTGGTCTCGACCTCAGAGAAAGACGCGACTGGTTGTTAATGTTGCCCCAGGATTAGTACACCCTTGATTGATTGGCAGTAGGGGGTGCTACTGCCTTACGTATTTGGTCTGTTAGCAACCGCCCCTGGGGAGAGTCACAACCCAAACCTCATTAGGTAGGGCAGTCCAAAGGCCATCCCTATCCCCCTGATTATTTACCAGAGGGTAGGTACCAGGTTTCATTTGTTTTTTTTTGGGAGCCACAGTATTTTGTTTTTCTCCGGGGGAACAGCTTTCGGTTGGTTGGTTGGTTGGTTGGTTGGTCGGTCGGTCGGTCGGTAGGTCGGTTGGTTTAAAAGCAACAGCAAACAAACCAACCATTTGCACATACCCATGCGGCTGTGCATTTTAATAAGGCACCACCGCAAAACTGGTTGGCGGACATGAATCTTCACCTGAATGATGTCCACCAGTTCCCTATGAAATTCACACATCTTCACTTTTGATGCATTTTCATACAGCTTTGAAACCAGCAGCCAAACCCTTGGGCGGAGGCGTTTGTTTTCGGATGCGTCCTGGTCTTTGACGGCGAGTTCTCCTTTCAGTCGCTGGTAGCATGTGCCGTGGCAACAAGTTTCAGAGAGAGTTGGGGTTTCAACCCCCAAGCCGCTACCCAAGGAACATGTGGTATGCAACCACTATATAGACACACACACACACACACACTGTAAAAGGGTGTATACTCCATTTTCCCTTGAAGGTAGTTTGGGTCTTGAGGGCGATTCGACGAGAGCCCTGATTGAGGATACCTTGTGCCTCTGTCTTTGTTCCACAAGGATACATTCTGAACCTAAGCTGTGATCTCTGTCACTTTTGGTGACCCGTGCTCCTGCCAGAGAGGGCGTTTCCGTGTTTGTGCCTCTGTCTTTGTCTCCACATGTTTGTGCCCCGTGATCTGTTTGCATGCAACTCGCATCAGTTTGTCGTCAGCCAAAGTTTCTGTTCGCGATTTTCCCTTTCAATCCAAACGACGGTGTCCCTTTTGAAAGACGCGAGGCGCCGTGTTCATTTCGGTGGCTGTCACGGCCATGAACCAAGTGGGCAGCGCTTGGGCTCGGGTGCTCAGAGATGCAGAGCGAGCGGTCCCCCTCTTCCGCCTGTGGCCGTGGTCGTCAAACCCAATGGGATCCCACTTTGGGGTAGGTGAATTTACCACCCATTTTAGAACCTATTTTAGTGGGGATTGGGATGTTCATTGGGGGTACTAGATTTTGACCCATGGCCATATAAACTTTGGTCAATCCACGGTCTGAAGTGTGGCCATGGATTCCTGTCCGGCACAGGCCCAGAATGAAGCAGGGCTCGATCTTTGATCACACTTTCAGAAGGACTTATTAAACCCGCGCATGCTTGGTATAGTATACATTGTATACATGAACAATTTTGGGTTTAAACAGATGGAGCTGTGGCGTGTTCCGAATGGATGGGATCCTGTGGCTGCCAGGGCCTCGGATTTGAAGATCCGGTCCGATATCTCGTTGGCATTGAGGCGGCTCGGGATGGGTTTCATGGTGCCCCCCCAACTACCTGGTTTCATGCGGGTATAGGGCCACAGGAAAGGCTAAATCCACCACAAGATGATGGTAGGAGCAGTCATAGGAAAGGCCAAATCCATCTCCATATAAGAAAAGTCAATAGCTTTTTGGGCGCTCATGCAGCCTTTGTGACAGCGCAGGCTGGAGCGATCGGCACTTTCGCCGCTTTGAGGGGCATGGACGGAATGAGAGTGGTAATAGGCCGGGAGTCGTGCATGTGCCGCTGCGAATGTTGACGCATGCGTCGAATGCCGTGCCTTCCAATTGCAGGAGCTTTGCTGGGTGTCCTGGTATCAGCTTCAATGCTGCAATGGCGCGTGCCCCATAGTGCCATTTGTGGTGTTCATTTGAGTGTTAGCGAGGCACCCCTTGCACTTCATTCCCGACCACAAGCCATGAGCCTAGATCACGCTCGCCACGCCTGAACGAGATCCGATAGCTGTTGCAGGTGGCTGGAGGTGATCTGGTACAGCGTGGTGGTATGCCTCTTCACAGTTGTGCCGGAAGCTCAAGTTGCCCGCTACAGCGAGTTGGTTGCTCTCATTATGCCGGGCGGAGGGCTTTTTGCCGCAGACAAGTTCTTTTGAGGAGGGTTTCGTCATTTTCATGGTCAAAATGAGTTGAACAATTGTGGGGAAGATTGTGAAAGGGAGCCAGCATGAAA